GGCCGCCTCTCCCCCCCCCCCCCACAGTCAGTGCTGGCCCACAGGCCGCCTCTCCCCCCACCCCCCACAGTCAGTGCTGGCCCACAGGCTGCCCCTGTGCTTCCCAAGGCATTCCAGAATGTCCTTGGCTTGTGGGTTTTGCTATATGCAGGGTTCTGGGGCTGTGACAGGTTTTAGAGTAACAGCCTGGCTGCCTTAGATTTGTGCTCCTGTTTATATAGGAGAGAGCACAGGGAGCAAGTTCTAAGACTCCACACGGGGTAATACAGGAAGAAACAGACCCTGGGCCTGGGATGTTGCCTCCTCTCAAAAAACAAAACAAACAAACAAAACACACACACACAGTATGATTTTTGGCAGACCTTGAATTCTCTAACTTTTAAAAATGTCTTCATTTATTTTTGGTAGGGTTTCATCTAACCCAGGCTGGCCTTGAAGTTGCTACATAGTCTCCTCCTGCCTCCCCTCTTGAGCTGTAGGATTAGACACGCACCACACACCCTCTGTAATCTTCTAGAAAGAAAAAAGTGATCAGACTATATCTGAAAAGCAATAACTAAAGCAAAACATCCAAGTCCCAGAAGAAAACATGTTCCCACTCCAGGAAAAATGGAAATGCCAGTGTGTAGGCTTTGATCTGAGTTTATCCACGGAGGGATTTATTTGAGAGCCAGGAGAGGTCACTGTGCTGAAGCTGGGGGTGATTCGCCTCCCACAGGTAACTGCACAGTCTGCAGACAGGGCAGAGTCCCCCGGCAGTTTAAAGACAGAAGACAGCGATGGAGAGGAAGACAGGACTTCAAATACCCCCCAACATCAGAGTCCAAGGGGGAGTAAACAGAAACCAGAAACTCAGCAAGTATATATAACAAACGCGAACGAAAAGAAAACACACCACCTCATGGGGGCTGTCTGGCCCAGTCCCTGGCTCCTTATTCAGGGTGCACCAGCCTCACTGTAATGACCAGTGACCCCCTGGGAGGGAAGGCCAGGTAGAGGGGGTTGCTCTGTGGGCTGGAGATGGTCCCAGCGCATAAGAATTCCTTGGTTGTGGAGGTGAGAAATGGGAGGCACAAGGCATTGCCCTTGTGCCCTGAGGTTTTATGTACAGGGTCTGTACTCCACATTTCTTTTCTCTTTTCGTGGAGTCAATGTGTGGCCCAGGCCTGAAAAGTCTAATTACAGATGGAAATGAGGGCAGGGCAAGAGCTACGGCAAACATGTAAAAATGAATTATTATTAGCCAGGCATGGTGGCATACGCCTTTAATCCCAGCACTCCAGAGACAGAAGCAGGAGCATGGTTTTGTGAGTTTGAGGCCAGCCTGACCTACAAATCAAGTTGTAGTATAGCTAGGGCTGTTACAAAGAGAAACTGTCTTGAAAAACAAAACAGCAAAAAGAATTATTATAGGATAATTGTATAAGGAGAAACCACCTTGGAGTTTATCCACTGGGGACAGATTTTAGAAGAGGAATATATGATATACTCCTCACCCTGAGATGTGGGAGACTGCACCTGGGCCCTTGCTCATGCTATGCAAGTGTTCTACCATGAAGCTACACTCCTAGTCCAAAATCTACATGGAATAGCCTAGTTCAGTCAGTGTACTGTGCCCAAGGTTCCTCTTACGGGGAAGAAAGGAGGTCATAGTTGGTACCTAACCTAGAAAGGGAAGGTTTTGTCCAAACAGTCATTAGATGCCAGAAAGGATTAAGTAGCAAGGGCTGCTATCTTCTTGCATTCCTGCCTGGATGAGGGAAAAGAATAAGTGTGTGCTCACCATAGTGGTGGAGCAAAAGAGCATTTCAAAACCCAAATCACAGAGCTGAGGCATTACCCTGGGCTCCCCTTTGGTTTGGGAGTTGGGGCTGGCCAGGACCATCCACGGAAAGGAATGTGTGTGGCCACCTGACTCGAGTCATTTCTGATCAGTAAGTACGTTGGAAATTTTCTGTCCTAAGGGCACATTCATGCAGAAATGAGCTGAGATGGTGTTTCTTTCTACGGGTGCAATTCTAGAAAAGAACCTGCTGGCAAAACAGTGGCGTTTATCCCAATGTGTGCAAAACATTGCACAGCGATTGAAGGCACCTTGGTTCTTCAGGGAGTTGCTGGACTTTATTTTGCAGATCATCTGGAGACTTGGAAATAGTTGAGGGCTGAGAATGAGAATCCAGAAGGAGAGAGAGGAGCACACACCCCGCCCTGTGAAATGCAAACACCTTGAAGCAGAGGACGGAGGCACAGGATGGATTTCACGAGGCCGAAACTTCTCGGAAAGATTTCTACTTAGTGACACCCAGGGGAACGAGTCTCAGCTCAAGCGAACACGGCAGAAGCTGCAGGGAAGGCTTAGGACAAGGGGCTGGCTGAGCTCATTCACATTTAGTCTCCTGATGTTTCCTGGAGGGAAAGTGAGGAAAGTCTCGAGAGGGGCGGGAGGAAATTAGTCACTAGCGTCCCTAGTGGGCACAGGTGCAGGTCCCCGCAGTATTCCTGGAAGGACAGTGACTCTGCCACCCTGCAGCCGAGGGTCTGGAAGGATCCACACCCTGTTGCCGGGGCTGTAGATCACGGTGCCACAAAATGAGGACCTTTCTGGTGCTGGAGCCCTGTCCAAGATGGACCACTTTTTAATTTACGCAACTCCACAGCCACAGACCGCTGGATCCTGGCAGAAGCAGTCCTGGACTGCCACCCCGGAGGGTCGCAGGAGAAGGGAAAATGTTTACAGGCGCGAGCTAGCAGGAGCCGAGGAGGGGAATGGTTATTTGTAAAAAGCTTTTATCTGAGGCCACCAGATCCCTTTTCAATTGTTCCAGCAGCGTCAAATGGTGGGTTTTGAACGACTGCCCAGCAAGCCTAGAATGGTATTTAGTCATTTCACAAAACAGCAGCCTTGGGTAAATGAGAAGCAATACCATTCAAGGAGACGGTGAGGTAAGAGGCCATCCCACCACACTCAAGTTTTTTTACTCTGAGTTTCGATAAACTTAGAGCTTTGAGTTGAATATACAAGTACTTATCTTCAGTTATTTTAAAAACAACCCAAATTTATTCATCAGCTGATACCATCTTTTGGAATGGGCCTAAGTTCATGTGGGGAATGGGGAGTGAGGGCAGTGTCACGCTCTAAGCGGGCTGATCTGGATGAGATCTTGGCTTCTGTAGTCATTAGCTATGCAGTGTTGACCTCTTTGGACCTGCGTTGTCACAGCCCTGAAACACAATTCACTGGCTGGATCTCTGCACGTTAACTGGTGTGGCAGAAGGACACGTGCTAGTTGGTGAGTGAATGAGAATCCGTCCAGAAGGAGAGAGGAGCCCACACCCCGCCCTGTGAAATACAAACACCTTGAAGCAGAGGACGGAGGCACAGGGTGGATTTCACGAGGCCGAAACTATTTAGTGACATCTTGAACGAGTCACAGCTCACGTGAACAGCAGAAGAAGAGCTGCAGGGAAGGAGTGTTATGCAGTCCGGAAGCAGACTGCCCTCAGCCACCACCTCTCCGTGACCACACGGGGAAGATGATCTCCCTGAAGGCTTCATGGTTCGCTAGGACACACCTGCTGTGGTGCTGGGACCAGCATTGCCAGGTACTGAGTACAGTATCCGGCATGTCAGAAGATCAGTACCACAGAGCCCTGCTCCATTTTAACTATATGTTTTAAGATTTGGTGTGTGTGTCCGTCCGTCCACAAAAGGGCAGCAGATCTTCTGGAGCTGGAGTTACAAGTGCCTGTGAGCTCTCCAGTGCAGGTGCTGCAAACCAGCACTGGGTCCTCCGCACTGTTGAGCCACCTCTCCAGCCCCTTCCTTAGGTTCAGGTCGGGGCTGTGCAGCCCAGGGTGAGCTAGAACTCCCTATGTCACCAAGGTGACCTTGAAATCCTGATCCTGCTGTTTCCACCTCCAAAGTGTTAGGATTAGCGGCTTGAGCCACCATTCTTGGACTGTTTCATCTTCAGCTAAAATCTGGTAGGATGCTTGCCAGGGAACACACAGAAGACAGGTCACAAGAAATTTGTTTAGGTATAGCGAAGGGCACATCCCTGGCAAACCTCAGTCTTGTATGACTGGGCTCCTCTTGACCTGCTTGGAGAACAAATGAAAACTGACCAAAAGTCTGAAAAAAATTATTCATTAGAGATAAGAGACTCATACACATTTGTTCTGGAGAAAAATGACTGATATGCTATATAGGATTCTTGACATGAAAAGAAATTTGTTAGGGCAGGGTTCAACTTTTGGTTTAAAAGGAATGAAGTTGTGATTTTCCCAAGGCCTAGCTGAGCCCTTCAAGACAAGAGCCACAACAACAGACCAAAATAGCACTGCTCTCAAAGGTTAAGTCTGTGGATTCCTTTGTTAAGTCACTCATCTGCTGTTATTCTTGGTTTTCTTCTCCAGGGATGAGGAAGATAAAACCCGTGGCTGAGGCTGAGACTTTCAACAGTTTCCACTCGGCAGCTACAAACACGCAGAGGAGCCTGAATCCCATTCGTCAGTTCAATGAGTCCATTTACGTGGCCTCTTGCCTTTCTCACCAGAGCCTAGATCATATTTGTTTAATTAAAAAAGGAACACCAAAGCACTTGGGATATAGCTCAATTAGCACTGTGCTTGCTTTGCAAGTGTGAGGTTCTGCGTTTAAGCCCCAGAACCTACAGACAAATACTTCCAGGTATAGCAGTATGTGTTTGTAATTCCAGGGCTGGGAGGTAGAGACAGGAGGATCCCTGGGGCTCCCTGGCCACGCAGTCCAGCTTACATGGCAAGCTGCCATCAGTGGAGACTCTATCTAAAAACCCAGCTCTGGGTAACTCGGGAGGGCGCTCCTGAGGTGGTGCTTTCATTTCCACGAGGATCAGCTCAGCCCCAAACATTAGCTCCCAAACCCCAGAGAACTGTCAACTATTAGTGCTGAAACCAAAGGAAATGGAAATTTTGCCTTCCACTTAGGGTTCCAACACAGAGGTGTTGAAGGGTATACAGATCAAATAAACCCATCCAAACGCCCGGAACAGGGTTTCGTGCCAAGAAGGTGGAATAAGGATAAGGAAGAGCATTGAGAGTTTGCAGGAGACTAGACCATAAGAGCATGGTGAGGACACATTGATATATGGGATGGAAAGGGAGCCCCAAGCTTTACTGCTTCTGCCTGGGGGTTCCAGGGAGAACGATTAGGAGTGTGGTCATTCTCTTTAGACAGGCAGCTGGGGCAGAAGCCAGTAGGGATTATTTCACCTCTGTAGGACAGACAGCAACGAGGCCCACATCCCTCAGCTCTGAGTGGCCTACAAAGCATAGAGTAAAACTCTTCCTTCTTAACCCAAGGGGACCAGGATCCAGAAAGGGTTCTAATATCCCATGTCTCAAGGAAGACCTGTTGTCCATCTCTGTGTCTTTCCAGGAGGAAGAGCCCAACCACAGTCAAGAGCTGAATTGTAGGGGCTGGAGAGATGGCTCAGCAGTTAAGAGCACTGACTGACTGCCCTTCCAGAGGTCCTGAGTTCAATTCCCAGCAACCATATGGTGGCTCATGACCATCTGTAAAGGAATCTGATTTCCTCTTCTGGTGTGTGTGAAAACAGAACATTCATATACATTAAAAAAAAAAAAAAAAGCTGAATTGTGTTCCCCCAAAGGTATGTGGGAACCCCGGCCCTGGGTACCTGCGACAGTGTTTGGATCAGGGTCATTGGCAGAGCAGCCAAGTTAAGACGATGTCTAAGGGCTTGGTGGTGGTGGCGCACACCTTTAATTTCAGCAACTAGGGAGGCAGGCAGATCTGAGTTCAAGGTTAGCCCGCTCTACAGAGCGAGTTTTAGGACAGCCAGGCCTATGCAGAGAGACCCTGTCTCACTAAACAAAACTCTTTTTAGTCTGGGCCTGAATCTAAGGTGCTTGGGGTCCTTAGAAGAGAGCAAAGTGTACAGTGTGGTGGTGGATAAGTAAGCCTAGCGCTTGGGAGGGTGAGGCAGGAGGATTATGAGTTCAAGAGCAGCCCACGCTATTTACTGAGTTCTCACCTCAAAGATCCAAACTAAAACCTTTCTGAAAACAACACCAACAACATACACATACAAACTAAGAAAGAAAAACAAAAACGAGACGAACTTGGGAAGACAGTACAGAGGGAGAGAGCTCAGTGAGCAAAGAGGCAGAGATTGTAGGGCCAGGACTGTCTGGTGGTGTAGATGCCATGGTATCCCTCAGAGGGAGCAGGACACAGCTCTGGTGCTTTGTATGGCAGCCCGGGAAGTGAACCCCAGCTTTCCCCAACACAGCTGTGTGGGGAGAAAAGGCAGACACTAGCCTCTGTTACACTCCAGTCATGTTCACACTCACGATCAAACCTCTGCCGGATTTAATCCAGGTACACTGAGGGCATGTCCATGCTTGGGAGAGGGACCCGAGTCCCAGGAAGCTATCAGGTATGAACTTGTTGTGACCTAGGAGACAATTTACTTAGTGTTTATAACAAAACAACGTAAGACAGCAAACCTGACTTGGGTCCAGTGAGTCCCGTTCCGTTAGAACAGGCCTTTGACTTGCTCTGTTTCGGTGTCGAGGTCTATGTCATAAAAGCAGGGCCGAGTGGGCAGTCCTGGCATCGTGCTCATCTGGAAGAGGAAACAAAGCAGTGCATGTGAGCAAGGTACACCAAGCGATTAATCACAGAACGGTCCGCTTGACGCAAGCCAACCGCACCATTCACGGCAGCCCCACAGGATGTTAGGTTATGGACACGGGCAGCCCTGTCAGTCTGACCCCTGCCTTTACTCTGCAAGGAGATCAAGTACAGAGAGCACATGTCCCCTCCCCCAACGTGCGGCCCATTCTCCCTCCCCTGTGGTCCCACAGGGCACAGCGGCCACTGGTGATCTTCAGAGCTTCTAGTCTAAGTTCAATTTGCATATGGAACCTGGAGACCAGCCTTCTCTGGCTGGGGCTGAAGTTGCCTCCTCTCGAAGCATCCTGTATTTTTGTTGAAGCAAGAGCCTTCGGTACAGACAGCAGGCACTTGGCATTCCCTTCCAGCAGGAAGTCCAGTGTTGGGGACAGAGCTGTGCACTGGCCATAGAGCTGACCGAGGACGCTACCTGTTTTATTCTCTTAGTAACCTCTACAAAAGGCATTTCTATTATTTCCACGTCACATGGAGAGTAGGGCAGTGAGATCTACACAGGGCAAGTTGCACGTTCGAGGCTGCTCAGGTAACCAGTGCCACATGACTTCTGGACTTTGCTTGTAATGTTGCATGATGCCATGACATCACCTCAGAGTGACACTCTGTATTCTACACGGACGACAGCCTGCGCCAGCCGGCTCCCAGCACTGTCTGAGGTAGACATTGCTTTCATCTCACTTGATTTTTTTTTTTCTTTTTTTTTTTGGTGGGTTGCTAGGACCTGTTTTTTTCAAATAGGGTCCCCTGTGGCCCAGGCTGACCTTGAACTCCCGATCTTCCTGTGACTGTCTCTCAAGTCTTGAGATCACAGTGCGGGCCACCACGTCCAGCAAGGTGAGAATACATTAAGTTATAAAGGTAAGTGCTCCCGAGTGTGGCTAGCTGGAGGCAGAGTCTGGTTCGTCAGCTGGTTCACTGTGTCCCTGGTGGCGGAAGGCCCTGGTGTACCACCAGAGCATGTGGGTACCATATACTCCTCCCCGGATCTGAGCTTCGAGGCTCCGAGGGTTCAGGATGTCCTGCTGGGCACAGGCCTTCCAGCGGCATCCATCCCCAGCTACTCTGAGATGAAGCGGTGATGGGCTGGCGCTCATTGGCCTGCCTCGCCCCACCCCACAGCCGTTCGCATTCCCTCCTCCCCCTCTTTCACTCCTGTCCCTGTTCGGGGACTCTTCTCCCTCAGCCAGGGCTGTGGAGCAGCGGCAGCTTGGGAGCCTGGGCCTGCAGCAAGTCTTCAGGGGACGCAGGCACATACTTCGTCTCACATGGTACCCGCAGTCCTCTTCGTGTCCCCTTCACCTCGGAAGAGTGTAGTACCTCAGTGCCATCTCTCCTTTCCCTGCTGGCCGGGTAGGGAGCCCATGGCCCTTCGGGAGCCCTCGCTGACCATTCTTGTGCCCTGCTGGTCCTGGAGTGTGGCAGTAGGGGGCCTGTGGCAGGGCAAGGAGAAGGCACAGCACGTGGCTCACTGGTGCAGGGCACCGTCGTTCCCTGCGTAGGGCTGCAGCACAGGTGTGTCATGGCGACCAAGATGTCCGAGAGCAGCTGGGGATAGAGGCCTCATCTGTCCCATGCTGCTGGGCAGCCACACTCTGGAACCCAAACAATGAGCTAAATATAGACTCTGGCACCTGACTCAGTGTCTGGGGACCTGCTGTATTTTAAGCTTACCTTCTTCCTTCCTAGCATGGAGCCGATGCTTTTCCGCTTACTACCGTGTGACTCTACTGAAAGGAGGGAGGCTATGTGTCTTGTGGTCATTCTAATTGTGTCACACTATTGGGACACAAAACTAGCTAAGGTCTCAAGCGTCAGGAAGTGAGAGATGTCTGTCTTCCACTTTCAGCTTCCTTTAAGTGGGAGAGACAGGAGTGGAATGGCAGAATTCCCACATTCCTTTCTAACGATGCCGTAATCACTTCTGAGAATCGAGACTACTGATCTGGGAGAAGGGACAGCAGACAAGAAACCACAGGCTCTGTAGAGCAAGAGGTCGTGTGCATGCTTCGTGCTGAGGAAGCACAGCGCAGAGTTCTGTTACCAGAACTGTACACACACACAAAGTTCTCTTCCAGGGAGCCACGGCCAGAGTGCGGCTCTCGGGCCAGATCCCTAAAGCACCACAAACGACAGAAGAACAGAGAGCCCCCTGGGAACTGGCCACAGGCCTGGGGTCAGTAGGGCTCTGTGCTATGTGGTCCTCCTTAAAATAAACAAGGAACGACTCAATCCACATACTCGGCATGCTACGTTAATGGACTCTTGTGCAAAGGCCGAGTAAAGCTTGTCTTCGTGATCCTGATTCTAACCACAGCTGAACTCCCAAGTTTTTCCTGACCACGAGAAACCGCACTTTCTACAGACAATGCTTAGAAACACACTTAGGCACGGGTGGGACGGCTCGGTGGCAAAGGTGCTTGCTGCTATGCCCGAGGACCTGGGCGAATCACAACTGTTTATACCTCCAGTTCCAGGGGATCTGATGCCCTCTTCTGGCTTCCACTGACACCAGGCATGAGTGTGGTACATACATGAAGCCATACATGCAGCCAAAACACACACAACTCATTAAAGAAACCCTACCCCAGCTAACAATTGCTCATGGCAATGACACATGAGCAGATAAAACTGGCAAAGCTTCAGACACGGCTCAATTCACAAGCGTGAGGGAAACACACGCGCTATCTCCTGGGTGCCGAGATTACAGGTGTGCACCTCAACAGGTGGCCTCCCGTCTCACATGCCTGCTCCTGGAATTTTGTTTTCAGGGAGATTATAAATTCAAATTGGTAATGGGGGGGTACTTTCTAACTAAGGGAAGAAGAGACGAGGAACACTTGCCACAGGCCCATTTTATATATAAGTCCAATGCTTGCTCCTTGGAAAATGTGATGTTCTGGGAAAAAAAAAGATAAACTGAAGAGAAACAGGAGGGTGTCTCTGCCTGGAGACAGACAGGGAGAAGAAAGTGCCACTTTAGAGTTTCAGATTCAATGTTTGCTTAAGAATGGTATTGGCAACCAGGTGTAGTGATGGCGGACACCTTTGATCTCAGCATTCAGGAGGCAGAGGCACGCAGATCTGAGTTTGAAGCCAGCCTGATCTACATAGAGACCCTGTCTCAAAAAACTCCAAACATCAACCCCCCCCAAAAACAAAACAAAACAAAAAATTAAAGAGTGGTTCTTTACAAGAAAGATCAACTTTAGAAAGAAGCCACAGCAGGCAGTAGACCTTGCGACTATAAAACATTTCTAAAGCATTATGAGTAGAATAATTACTCGGATCATCCCCGTTACTCTGTTAAGACCAAACATAGATCACTGAGAGCGTTTTGAAGTCTGTAAACAGCTCTGGTTTGCATGACTTCATCAAACAATTACCTACATATTCAGTTAAAATTTCCTGGCCTGGGGATGTTCCTCAGGGGCTGAGGGCTTATCTAGCTAGAGCATACTTGAGGCCCTGGGTCCGAGCCCAAGTCACACATATACGCAGCATTTTTGGTTAGCACAAGCCAGGGAAGAGTTCAAAAGCAAGGCCACACTGGCTAAATGGCCCTTCGTCGTTCACCATGCTTTGTCCTAATCATTCCCTAAGAGATACATGTACCAGCATGCAGGTGTTAGGCCATTTACACGGGGCTATTTACACGGGGCTCTTCACACATCCCCGGATTGCTAGGGAGACTTTTGGCCCTTCACTGTCACCATGACCAACATTCCAGAACTTGTCTACAGCCCTGATGTAGGTGGAGGCTAACAGGCTTTCCCCATCCCTCTGTAGATGCAGTGATGTTCAGTGAAGCTGTTATCATGTTCCTGGTACCAAACCAGAGGGTCTGGAAGTGCTGTGTTCTAGCTGGATCAGCAGTCTGAGCATTCAGATCAGGACTGCTGGGAAGGGCTTCTGCTTCCTAGGGAGAGGCATGGCCCTAGGGCAGTTAGCTTACTGAGCCTTCACTGGTCATTTGTAAAGTACAGATGTGACAATACCTACTTTTGGACTCCACTTTGAAATTAAAATGAGGTAAGAAAAGACTCCAGTTAGGCATTCCATACACAGTACATATTTCCTGTGTGAACTAAGACATGAGCAGCCTGAGAGCATTTGCCCTCCTGTGCTGGTCTCATGACCTTAAGGATTATTCTGGAACCATATAAAGGTAGGAGAGAAATGACTCCTTCTGACCTCCGACCTCCACGTGTGTGCTGTGACAGGCTCCTACTTTTTCTCAGTCATAAACACACTTGCACATAACAAATGAAACATGAAACGGCACAGACAGATATAGAAAAAGCAAACCTATTCCATGATTGTTTCTTTTACAGGGATAAATAAAGCTTATCAATTTTGAGACATTTCCCTAATTTTTTGTGTTATCAGCTGTCTTAAAGGTAAGCAGAGGGGATAGCTCCCAACTCCATAGTGTGTGTTCTTAATAGTGTCCAGTTACCACAGTCAAGTCTGAAACCCCTGTGTTGACATGGAGGCTGCTGCACGCAGGCCCGGCAGAGCTGCACGGCCGGAAGTGCCGCTGTCCTCCTCTCCACCTTTGTGGGCCTTTTCTGCCATTTGGCATCATACTCATTCTCCAGCCGTCTGCAGAGAGCATGCTCTGAGGCTCCCTATGAGCTCCAGGGAAACAAAACGAGTTACTAACAGGTTTCTGAGGAACGCCTCCCTTGAACATGAACAGATCTTGGCTGTCGACTCACCGTCCTGTGAAGGTAAGGCAGACAGGGAGCGGGGAGGAAGGGTGGGGTGGTGGACATTGTTTCTGCTAGGAAGTTCACTGTTTTCCTTCCTGCTGCTGAACTTGGGGCCTCACACAAGCACGGAACCAGGAAGCCATGTCTCCGGGCCAGTTTAACATTTCTCTCGTTTTCATCCCCCATCCATCCTCTATGCCACTGCAAGGCTCCTCTGTGG